GACTCTGCTTTGCTGTAAAATGTGGGGGAGCCCCTCAGTGCCCCCAGGCTGGCTGGGACCAGTCAGCAGCATGGAAGGAAATGAAAGCCTTGGTGCCAATGTCCTGTTGGCACTGTGGGCTCGTGGAACCAGCCACCCTTTTTAAGCATCATCTTTTCTTCCTCCCTGGAGCAGGACCAGCAGCTGCTGCAGCACATGGTGAAGAAGATCAGGAAGATTCAGGGGGACTGTGAGGAGCTCAGCTTGGTCTCAGTGAGCCTCCAGAAGGACTGTGAGCAAAAGCAGAAAGATATTGAGGTGTGTGACTGAAAGTCCTGTGGGCTCAGAGCATCCCCCAGGCAGACTCCAGGCAGGGCACCACAAAGAATCTATCCCCTTGCCAACCTGTTCACAGCCCTGAGCACGTTCCAAATCCCTTTCCCAGAAGACTTTGGGTAGGGAGAGCAGGGAATGCTCAGCTGACCAGGAGGCAGCTCCACCCCTGCTGTGGATTCATGGGCTGCTTTCTGTGTTGAAAGATGCTGTTCCAGTCCTTGGAGACACTGAAGAAGGACAAAGCAGATGAGCAGAACATGTTGGTGGCAAAGGATATGGTACTGTCTTGAGGGACCTCTGTGCCAGCCCAGGGATTCCTGGAGAAATGCCCGGTGTCCCTTGGGGGCTGGGTGGCAGAAGTGGCCTGGGAGAGGGAGGATTTCCAGAACATGTGCAGGTCTCTTGCCCCTCCGCTAGTGGGACCAACCCCATGGGTGTGATGTGGTGGATGGTGCCAACCGGCCCTGAAAGGGGCACGATGGCACGGAGGGAGTGCTTCTCCCTGTGCCCCTGACATGCCCTGGCCCTGCCGGTCATTCCTCAACCCTTTCCTCTCTTCACTGCTGCCTTTCTCCTCTGCTAGAAAGTTGCCTTGGGCAGCAAAGTCAGTTCCACCCAGTTTGAGGCAAGCATGGAGCGGCTGGATCAGAGGATGCAGGAGATGCAAGCCCAGATGTCAGGACAGAATCAACACTGGAATCAGATTCAGCAGGAGCTCAGTGACATGATAGGAAACAAGGTGAGCAGTGCCTCATCCCTGCCGTGTGAAACTGGCACCTTTGGGGCCTCAGACAGCATCTCCTGAGGGTCTCCCTCCAAGACTGTTTCCTGGAGCTCGCCATGATCCATGCCGGGGCAGTTGGCTGAGGGTGTGCACCTGTCCACAGCTGGATCGCCAGGAGCTGAAGGATTTCCATAAACAGATGGAGGAGACCTGGCAGAAGAGCATCAAGGAGCTTGAGAAGAAGACGGCAGAGGGTGACAGCGCTGCTGGGTTGAGGAAGTGAGTGGGATGGGGATGGCAATGGCTTTGGGGACAACCATGGTCCTGTTCCGTCCAGCTGTCCCAGACACTGCCCATGTGCTACCCTGGCACTGCACCAATTTAGCCGCCTAACGAACAGGTGCGATGCTGATGAAGCTGTGGCCCCCCAGGAGCTCACCCAGCCCTTGTCTCTCCCCATCCTTAGGCAGCTACCAGTCCCTTTCACGTGCCTGTCCTGTGACCGCACGGTCAAAATGCAGGTTCCTGGCCCGTGAGTATCAGCTCTGCTTCGGGGGGGCTGCGTCAGTGGGATGGGGGCAATGGGTGCCAGGGGTGACCCGCTGTGCCAGGCACAGGGGTGAGGGTGTCAGCTTGGGAGGGTCTGACTCTGCTGAGCCCCCTCCTCAGCCCATCAGGAGGGAGGGTGAGGCCTTGTCCCCAAGGGCTGCCAGCAGGGGAATCTGTGAGGTACAAGGCTGTGGGTTTTGGGGTCCTGCCCCGAGCAGGTGTGGGTTGTTTGTCCCCTGTTACCCACCTGTGGCTTTTGCCCTCCTCAGGAAACCTGAGACACTCCCATCTTTGCCGCCACTGCTCCCCAGCAAGGACACAGAGCAGAGCCAAAGGTAGGGGACCTGAGGACACATCCCTGGCTCCTGGGAGGCAGGACAGCCCTGTCCTAGCAAGAGGAGCTCATCTCTGGTGGGGTCAGAGGGACCTTGTGGGTCTGGTCAGAGTAGAGGGAAGGCTGTGGAAGGTCAGTGATTGCCCCAGGTCTAACAGGCTTTATAGCTCCTCTTGCACTTCTCTGCCCAGCCCAGGACTCTGCCTCAAGGTCACTGAAACCAGATGTGATGACTTTTGTCTGGTTTCTGCCATAGCCATGGCTCAGCTCACCTGGCCCTGGGGAAAGAAAGAACAG